CTCATTTAGTACAGAATTTCCTGAACCCTAGCTGTGAGCCCAGATCAGGCTAGAGAACGTCTGAGCACTTCCCAGTCCCTTCCCAAATGTGAGACTCCGTGAAGCTGTGGGCTCGGCGGCTGGCGATGGCAACCTGCTGCCTGGTGGCCATGCTGGCAGAGTTACCCTCTCCAAGCCTCCTGGGATCCGTCACCCGCTTTCCTCTGGGGAGGCTGAGCACACTGGACAGAGGGGCTCGGCAGTTAGGAATCTACCCTCCCATCCCACGAGTCACTAACTTGCAAGGGCCACAGCAGAGGAACACAGAGACCTTGGGCACAACCGCCCTCTATTACGTACCCCAAAAGTACACTCTTGTACACAGAAAACATCCCTGAGTTGGAAGTACAGACTCCTGACTGGGAAGAGCCCCCGGCTTCTTGGAAACAGGCAGAATACATGCGTAGGGGCTGGGGAAGGGGGTCTGTGGCCAGGAACGTGTGCCCATAAGTCACCGAAGTGGACATGCTGACGGACTCACAAACCCAGAACCACACAGCACAGTGACCTTCCACGTGGATATCATTGCCTTTCTATGTCTCTGCTTCTAAAACCAAGGATCTGGGCTGCGTGAAAACCCCCATTTTATGAATCTGGAAAGCAGACTGAGCTGGTTCTGTTTGTAGAAATCAATCTGCCATTTTATCAACTTGTAACAATCAATTATGACATGCAGGTAAAAATGCAGGCTGCTACCAAATCCAAAACTCACTGGCAGCACCCCCAAATATGAGTGTGCACCCCCAAATGTGGATGAGCACCCCCAAATGTGGATGAGCACCAACCCGTGCGGGACTCTGGGAGAGGCACGGAGGCTGCAGTGGGGAGCAGGGCAGACGGTGATGCCCCAGGATCACCTGCTGTGAGGGCTCCAGATGGGCACTGAGGGCCATGAAGAACAAGAAAGAAGGCTGGCAAGCAGGAGGGGATGGGGAGACCTCCCTGTGCAGAGGAATCTGAGCAAAACCCTGGAGGAGGTGGGAGCAGCCCCTCCAGGCAGAGGGAACGGAGGAGGTGGGGGCAGCCTGTCAAAGGCAGAGTGAGCGGCTGGGGGTGGGTGCATGGGGTGCTGGATCTCACCTTTGCAGTGGGGTTCCAGTGGAGAACGCAGCCTTAGGCTGAGTCTACACTGAAAATGCTGTGTGCTGTAGGGGAAAGGGCTTCTATTCAAAAAGGGCTTGAAAGGCTGAAGAAGACAGCACAATATCAAGGTCAATGCCAGTTCCCCCGTTTGGATGACCATATAAACTTCAAAATAACTGTAACATAAAATGATTAAAAACATCTGAAGTATGTCACTTATTCTGAATGTTCTTTTTTTTTTTTGAGACGGAGTCTCGCTCTGTCGCCCAGGCTGGAGTGCAGTGGCGTCTCCCGGGTTCAAGCGATTCTCCTGCCTCAGCCTCCCAAGTAGCTGGGATTATAGGTGCCTGCCACCACGCCTGGCTAATTTTTTGTATTTTTAGTAGAGACGGGGTTTCACCGTGTTAGCCAGGATGGTCTCCATCTCCTGACCTTGTGATCTGCCCACCTCGGCCTCCCAAAGTGCTGGGATTACAGGCGTGAGCCACTGCGCCCGGCCCTGAATGTTCTTTGAAAAGATTACTTTGCCTAATGTTAGGAGAGTATGATAAAATACAGCACATTTAGGGAAGTCCATTCATTGTGAGTTGGAGAATGACAACAGTCAAAACTGGGCCACCAGCTAAGCAGCAGCTACAGACATGAGTGACCCTGAAACAAAGGCCTGCGAAGTCCTGCCTGAAAGCTGACTCTCACAAAAGAGGAGACCTCGACTTGTGTTCCACTGCACACAAGAGCGGGTGTTGTCCAGCCACACGGACAAGATGATGTGGACGACGGGCTTGTTTCTGTCCCGTGGGTGAATGCAAATGTTTCCAGAGCCACAGTTGCAGGTCCTGATGGCTGCCAGGTCTCTGAGGGGATCATGAGAACTGTGGCCCCTCCAAGTGTGGCCACTGTGTGGCTCCAGCCATGAAGCTGCCCACGCCTGCAGGTCTAGCAGTGTCCAGCGTTATTGGAAGGTGTAGGTCCAAATGTGGATTTTTATGAGAGCCAAGTCAAACAACATCCCTGAGTTGGAAGTACAGACTCCTGACGGGGAAGTCCTGCAGGCCATGACCCTGAAGAGTCTTGGGCTGTTTCCCAATAAGGAAATACCTTGATCCCTCCTTGCATTTCACTGCCACGGGGACGCTGACACAAACCAACCCTGAGACGGAGCAATGTTCATGATCTCATCGAAACCCCCCTTTTTGAGACACGGTCACCCAGGCTGGATCAAAAAGATCTGTGTGTAAGAGCTAAAACCATGAAACTCTTAGAAGAGAACACGGCAGTAAATCTTTATGACCCTGTATTAGGCAACAGTATCCTATATGACACCAAAACCATAAGCAACAAAAAGAAAACATTAATTGGAATTGCACATCATATACCTGATAAGGGACTTGTATCTGGAATACATAAAGGACTATTACCACTCAACAATAAAAACAAATTAAAAAACGAGCAAAGGATCTGAATAAGTATTTCTCCAAAGAAGACATACAAATGGTCGATAAGCACAGAAAAAGATGCTCTCGTTATCATCTGCCATCAGAGAAATACAAATCTCAACAGCAGGGAGACGTCACACCCACCAAGACAGCTGTCATCAACAAGACGGACAACAGCAAGTGTAGACAAGGATGTGGAGAGATGGCACCCTCCTACGCGGCCAGCGGGAATGTAAAAGGTGCAGCTGCTGTGCACAAGAGTCTGGGGGTTTCTCAAATAGCTAAACATAGAGTGACCACATGATCTAGCAATTCCACACTGAGGTACACACCCAAGAAAAATGAAAACTATGTCCACACAAAAACCTGCACACAAATTCACATTCACAACAGCCAAGAGGTGGAAACAACTCAATGTCCATCAACAGACGAAGGGAGAAATGCGACGCGGTGTGTACACGGAGGAGTAAAGCACTGACCCACGCCACAGCGTGGACAAATGGTAAAAACGCTCGAAGTGAAAGAGGCCGGTTACAAAAGGCCATGTATATCGCACACTTGTTTCTACAAAATGTTCTGAACGGGCAGATCCCTAGAGACACAAAGCTGCTAAGAGACTGGGAAGTGTGGGCAAAGTGGAGAGTGACTGCTAATGAGTACAAGGTTTCTTCTTCTTTTTTTTTTTTTGACAGAGTCTTACTCTGTTACCCAGGCTAGAGTGCCATGGCACAATCTCGGCTCACTGCAACCTCAACTCAACCTTCTGGCTTTAAGCAATCTTCCTGCATTAGCCTCCTGAGTAGCTGGGACCACAGTGGCGCACTACCACACCCTAATTTTTTGTATTTTTTTGTAGAGACTGGATTTTGCCATGTCGCCCAGGATGATCTCCAACTCCTGAGCTCAAGCAATCTGTCCACCTTGGCCGCCCAAAGTGTTGGGATTACAAGCGTGAGCCACCGTGCCCAGCCTAGATTTTTTTAAAACAATTTTTTTTTTTTTTTAAACATACAGGGTCTCGCTCTGTCACCCAGGCTGGAGTGCAGCCGTGCGAGGGTAGCTCATGGCGGCTTCCAACACCTGGGCGATCCCGTAATCCTCCTGCCTTGGCCTCCTGAGTAGCTGGGACCACAGGCTCATGCCACCTCGCCCAGCTAATTTTTTTTTTTTTTTTTTGAGATGGAGTCTCGCTCTGTTGCCCAGGCTGGAGTGCAGTGGCCGGATCTTAGCTCACTGCAAGCTCCGCCTCCAGGGTTTACGCCATTCTCCTGCCTTAGCCTCTCAAGTAGCTGGGACTACAGGCACCCGCCACCTCCCCTGGCTAGTTTTTTGTATTTTTTAGTAGAGACGGGGTTTCACCGTGTTATCCAGGATGGTCTCGATCTCCTGACCTCGTGATCCACCTGTCTTGGCCTCCCAAAGTGCTGGGATTATAGGCTTGAGCCACCGCGCCCGGCCGTAATTTTTATTTATTTATTTATTTTAGATAGAGATGGGGTCTTGCTTTGCTACCCAGGCTGATCTCAAACTCCCGGCTTCAAGCAATCCACTTGCCTCAACCTCCTAAAGTGCAGGGATACAAGTGTGAGCCACCGCAAGGTTTCACTCTGGGAGACAAAAGTGTTCCCATATTGATTGTGATGATGGCTGCACAACTCTGAATATTCTAGAAACCACTGAATTGTACACTTTAAATAGGTATGTTGCATGGTACATGAATTATATTTCAATAAAGTTGTAAGAAACACCCACAAAAAACATCATCGAGTACTCTAATGTCCACTGAGGCCCATCCAGTCTGCTCTAATAGTCAAGAATATTTGAAGGAAAAAAACAGCTGTCCCGAGCCCCAGCACCTGCCTGTCTCATGGGTCTTGGCTGTTCCCCCAGCAGCTGGCAGCAAGGATCATTCTGTACCCAAGGCACCCACTCCACAAAGGAAACGGCAGGACCCCAGCCCTCCCCTGCATGCCGGCTGCTGGAACGCCTCACCCTGGCCAGCAACACGGACACCCCACAGCACCTGAGCCCAGTCCCAAGCTCCGGGGGCCAGGCGTGCTTTGGAATTCAGAACTCTCCTGAGAACAGTAACATGGTGCCCAGGGTGTGAGTTACACACCATGCGTGGTCTACAAGGGCAGTGTCTGTTAAAGCACACTGATGTTTGCATGTGGACTGTAAGCACTTTCACATCAGTGAGATCCCCTAGAACAAGAACAGCCTCCCAGGAGCTCAGGGCAGATGTCACCACCTTGGGAGTTTTACAGAAAGGCCCTGCCTCGGAGAGCTTTGGGTTTGGAACCACAGGTTCGGGCCGTGGGCCTGCACTCGTCCCCTGGGCTCCAGAGCTGTGGGCCGCAGAGTGGAAGCGCAGGTCGGGGGCTAGGTACAGACTGCGTGCCGGACCCCCCACACCCCTGGGCTTCAGGAACCAGGGTCTACCTTGGTGGCTGTGGGGAGCGGGGCTTGGGTTTCCCCTTCTCCTTCTCCCGCTCCTTCTCCCGGTCGCGGTCACGGTGCTGCCGGTCCTTCTCGTCCCGCTTGGCTCGCTCACGCTCCCACTCCTCCTTCCTCCGCTGCCGCTCCTTGTCGCGCTCACGCTCCCGCTCTCGCTCACGCTCCCTCTGCCGGCGCTCCCGCTCTCGGTCCCGCTCCCGCTCCCGCTCACGCTCGCGCTGTCTGTTCTCTCTCTCTCGCTCCCGCTCCCTTTCCTTTGTTAAAAAGCCAAACACATAGGGACACAGTGCGTTATTTGGGTGACTGAGGCACCGAAAGCCCTGGCTCCAACACCACGCGATCTGTGTCACAAAATCACACCTAAACCCCACAAACCTACACACAAAACGCCAAGTGCACACGACTATGACTCAACTCTGCGGTGGAGTATAGAGGAGATGGCAAGAGAGAGGCAGGATCAGGGAGCACCCTCCAGTGGGGATCTAATTCCCAACTCTCTCCTTAAAACACAATGTTAAAAACCGGGTCAGATGCCAATATTAGAGAGAACACGAACTAGGAGTGAAATCATCCCAACCGCCAATTCTAGACTAACTCAAGGCAGCAGTTCTGCAGTCACAGCCCAATGCCGCTGGGACAGATGGCCTTCTGCCATGTGGCCTGGGCAAATCCGTTCGTCCATCCAGAGACGGGAGTTCCAGGCTTGTCCCAGGTGGGTGCAGCCACAGCAGTGCACATGCCCTGCCTCTGGAGCAGACCGGGCATCCAAAAGGCTGCTCCTGTTCTTCTAGTACAATCCTCAGATGCCCTTTCCAACTTTCCCTCTGCTCTTACTCATTCATTTGCTCTAATATTCAATGTTAAAACTGAATAAAGTCCAATTACAGTGCACCTGACGAGTTTCAGGCTTGAGGCCTCCGCTGGGGAGATGTGGGGTGCACCCCCAGCCTCCCTGCTGCCCCTCCCTCGGACACAGCAGAGAAGAACGCAGTGGAAAGGGATTCTGGGGCTTTCTCCCACATTCCAGGGTGCCCTGCCCAGGGGTAGGGAGCAGGACCCTGCAGCCCACCTGCAATGAGGAAGCTGCTCTATGGAGAGACGGGGCACGAGAGGATCGAGCAGGGGGACTTCTCCGGCACAATAGGACCCTCTCCTCTCGGTGAGCTCACCCTGATGGGCTCCTGAGGAGACAGCTGCACCTGGTCCTCAAAGCTCATGACTGTCCCCGCAGTCACAGAGCAGGAACTACACGGCAGCTTCTAACTGACCCTTCCCTGGAGCACTTCGTCAAATCACCCTAACAGTTAAGATGAGGAACTCACAGTCTGAAGCACTTAATTCATCAATACGCTAAACTGAGGCTCAGACCAGGGAGATTTCCAGGGAGGAAATCTCAGTATAGACCAGTCTTCCATGAGAGCAGTGAGGTGCAGCAGGCCCGCAGGAACACACTTAACAAGCTGGCTGAAGTAGATGAGAACAGGCGCCACATCCTAAACGGGATCACTGAGGGGCAGGGAAGAGTGACACACCCGATCAGGGAGACACAGGCACCCCTGGACACAGGCATCATTAAGTATACTGGCAAATCTCATTTTCAAAACCAGGCCGAGCTGGGTTCCGGGGCTCACACTTGTAATCCCAGCACTTTGGGAGGCCGAGGCAGGCAGATCACCTGAGGTCGGGAGTTTGAGACCGGCCTGACCAACATGGCAAAACCCCGTCTCTATTAAAAATACAAAAAATTAGGCAGGTGTGACGGTGGGTACCTGTAATCCCAGCAACTCAGGAGGCTGAGGCAGGAGAATCACTTGAACCTGGGAGGCGGAGGTTGCAGTGAGCTGAGATCATGCCATTTGGACTCCAGCCTGGGCAACAGAGTTAACTCCATCTCCAAAAAAAAAAAAAAAAAAAAAAAGAGAAAAAGAAAAAACCAGGACGGGTGCAGTGGCTCATATCTGTAATCCCAGCACTCTGGGAGGCCGAGACAAGTGGATTCTTTGAGCTCAGGAGTTCAAAACCATCCTGGGAAACATGGTAAAACCCCGTCTTTACAAAAAAATACAAAAAATTAGCCGGGCATGGTGGTGCATGTGTGTGGTTCCAGCTACTCGGGAGGCTGAGGCAGGAGAATCGCCTGAACCCAGAAGGAAGAGGTTGCCGTGAGCCGAGATTGCATCAGTGCACTCCAGCCTGAGTGACAGAGTGAGACCCCATCTCAAAAAACAAAAACCAAAAACCAAAAAAAACCCCCAAAACTAAAGCAAGAACCAGTTTTCAGGCAAGTCCTTGTTCAAATGACCATCGATTTAATCGCTGGCTCTGAATTACTTCCCCACAACAATCAATTTGGTTTTGAAATTGGTACACTGTGCTGATTCTATAAGCTCATATAAAGCCCTATATTTTTTACTATAAATAAAAAGGGATGACTTTAATGAACAGATCATGAAGTTCGTATCTGGATATTTAAGTCATACTTACTCGGTAATTATGGTACGGCTCTGTTTCTGTATACTGCACCCTGAAATTCTCATACTGTCCGCCACGCCAAAACCGCTCAATTTCATAGTCATAATAAGGGTCCGCATAAGGCTCGAGTCTGAAAAGGGCCAATGAAAAAGAACTCTCATCACTTAGGAACACTGGTATAAAAAGATCACATGAAACTTTAGGACAGAAAGTAACAGACCGTGACTCAGTGGGGTTTACTCCAGGAGTGCAAGGTTAGCTCAAGGTTAGGAAATCCATCCACAAACTACATGTAAGAGCAGGCCAAAAGTCAAAGGGTTCTTTTCACAGATGACAAAAACGTCTGACAAAAATTCAATAGCCTTTTTGATAAAAATACTCAAGAAAATAGGAAGTGAGGGCTGGGTGCGGTGGCTCATGCCTATAATCCCAGCACTTTGGGAGGCCGAGGCGGGTGGATCACCTGAGGTCGGGAGTTTGAGACCAGCCCAACCAACACGGAGAATCCCCGTTTCTACTAAAAATACAAAATTAGCCGGGTGTGGTGGCGCATGCCTGTAATCCCAGCTACTCAAGAGGCTGACGCCGGAGAATCACTTGAACCCAGGAGGCGGAGGTTGCCGTGAGCCGAGATCGTGCCATTGCATTCCGGCCTGGGCAACAAGAGTGAAACTCTGTCTCAAAAATTAAACAAACAAACAAACCAACAAACAAGGAAGTGATACTTTAGCATGATAAAAATATACTGACACACTTTGGAACTAAAGCCAGCACCTTACTCACTGGAGAACAGGAGGAGCTCCCCCAGGAGTCTCCACAACCACCTGTCCCTGTGTGGAGGCACCACCTGACTGGACAAGGGGAGCCCACAGATGCACAAGAACAAAAAAACAAGGAGCAAAGTGAGCTCAGATTTGCACAACGATACGATGCTACACATGAAAACCCAGAGACTTGATAAAGCCAATTCAAATACACAAAAAAGAAACCTGGAAAGGCAGAGGATTAAAAAAAATTAACATAGAAATCAGTGTCTTCATAGACACAGATTATAACCAGTTGGGAGGCAGAGTGGAGAAAACCACATTTACAATAGCAACAAAGAAGAAAAAAATACTGAGGAATAAAATATTAACATATTTCACCAGAAACGTGCAGAGCTCATTCCTGAGAGATACGAAGCGCGCGTGAATAAATGGGGAGACGCCTGAGAGACACGAACAGTGTGTGAATAAATGGAGAGACACCTGACATGAAGTGTGTGTGAATAAATGAGGAGACGCGGCTGGGCGCGGTGGCTCAAGCCTGTAATCCCAGCACTTTGGGAGGCCGAGACGGGTGGATCACGAGGTCAGGAGATCGAGATCATCCTGGCTAACATGGTGAAACCCCGTCTCTACCAAAAAGTACAAAAAACTAGCCGGGCGCGGTGGCGGGCACCTGTAGTCCCAGCTACTCGGGAGGCTGAGGCAGGAGAATGGCGTAAACCCAGGAGGCGGAGCTTGCAGTGAGCTGAGATCCGGCCACTGCACTCCAGTCTGGGCGACAGAGCAAGACTCCGTCTCAAAAAAAAAAAAAAAAAAAAGTAAAAAATAAATAAACAAATAAATAAATAAATAAGGAGACGCCTCTGACATAAAGCGTGCGTGAATAAATGGGGAGACGCCTGACATGAAGCGTGCGTGAACAAATAGGGAGACGCCTCTGAGAGACACGAAGCGTGCGTGAATAAATGGGGAGACGCCTCTTGCACTGGGACAGGACAGCTCGGAATCGCCCCAAGTCAGTCCTTCCTATGCTGACTTATAAATGTAACACAATCCCAGCAAAAACACCAATGAGCCTCTTTACAGAGCCAGATAAGCTGACACCCAAGTTCACATGAAAAATCAGACCCCAAGACCAGCCAAGAAAACCCTGGAAATGAAGACATGCCAGACACGACCTCTGAGACATTAAACATCCTAAAAAGCCTGTATAATTAAGCCAGTGCCATCACAGCACATGAAAACCGGTGGCCAGAAGAAGCAGGCAGGAGGTTCAGACACAGACCCAGGCACGCCCAGAGAGGTGGCGTCTCAGGGACAGAGGGGATTCTTCCTCAAACAGGGAGGGGTCAACTGTTCCGCTGCTGGGAAGGTCAGGCTGTCTTCCCCACTGTGCACAGGGTGGTGGGGTCTGCTCTAAGCTCCTGGTGGGGCCCACAACTCTGCACCTCCTTTCCTGCAGAGCAGAGGAAACAAGGTGCACACCAGCAACAGGAGGTCCCTGGACACCCCTCCAGGGTAGTCTCAGCCCCAGGCCAACCCTCTGCTTTGGGTAGCCTGGGTGGGAACCTGATGCATCATGGCTTGCAGTGGCTCCAGCTATGGGTGGCCACTAACACCCTTGAGGTCATCTCAACTCTCCACATGGCCTAGGACTGGCTCTCCCAAAGGACACAGCTTCAGTTCGTTCCAATCAGTCCAACATCATTCAATCGAATGTGCACACTACTCAAATCACACTGAATTATGATACTCAGTAAACATCTGTAGAGACCTGTGGTGACATGACATCATGCTACATAAAAACGAAGAGGAAGCCTGGACAGCACGCGAGACCCCGTCTCTACAAAAATACAAAATTAGCCAGGTCTGGAGGCGCACGGCTGTGGCCCCAACTACTTGGTGGGCTGAGGCAGGAGGACTGCATGAGCCCAGCAGGGCAGAAAAGCCTTTCCCAAAATGAGTGTGAGGGTGTGTGTTCTCTGACAAGAGGGCTGTGCTGGCAAATTTGTTTTTGGGAAACTGCACTTAAGCAAAATGAAAAGGCCTCTTTCCTGCAGGCTTTCTGGAAGTCGTGGGTGAGTGGATAGGAATGAGGCACACAGCATTTCCTCAGCGGGGCTGCCTCGGAACCATCTGCTCCGCAGCATGTGCTCTAGAGAACATGCCACCACAGCACGCCACCGGGAACCACAACCGTGCGCTGGAGAATGTGTCAACATGGCACGCCACCGGGAACCGCAACCGTGCTCTAGAGAACGTGCCACCACGGCACGCCACTGGGAACCGCAACCGCGCGCTAGAGAACTTGTCAACACGGCATGCCACCGGGAACCGCAACCGCACGCTAGAGAACGTGTCAACACAGCACGCCACCAGGAATTGCAACCATGCCAACAACGGACTCCTCAGCACTATCGTGAAAAATTCTGAAACACTCTTGAAATGAATTTGGAAGGGTATTTAATTCAATTTAAAAATAAATGCTACTGGGCAGTATCATGGTCTGCACAAACACTTCCCATACTGTTTTAGGGAACCCAAAATGTTAATGGCCTTTTGAGAAAAGGGTTCTGTGATCAAGCAAGCTTGGGCAAAGCTGGCTCGCAGCAAATGGGAGGCTCGCGCCTCATTCTGCAGTCACCACTTAACCAGCCAGCACCAACAGTGTCCTGTGCACACACATGCATTCTGCACTCCACAGGCCCTGCGTCCCCAGAGGTCTGGGCAGTGTCAGACTCAGCACTGGCACGTGGAGTGGACTACTCCTCGCTGGATGGGAGAACCCGAGGTCCTGGCTGAGAGGAACCATTGGACACGCCCACCAGAGGCAGGTGGTTTCTGCGCACAGCCCTCCCCAGGGAGAGGCGTGGCAGGTGAAAAGTTGAGCAATTAGAGAACGTGTAAGAATCAGATGTTTGGAGCTTGGAGATCACTTTGTTTAACCATTTCATTTCAATGACAAGGAAACTGGAGCTCAAAAAGTACTAGAAAAAGTTCTAAAATGTCGAACATGACCCACTTTTAATCTAAGGGTTATGCAATATTACACAATGAAATTGTGCATTTGCACAATTCAGGTTGAAATCGTGCTGACCTCAACCCAGGTGGAGGGAGGCTGTGCTCTGCAAAGGGTGGGAGTCAGGTGCTCACATGCCCCTGCCTGCTGCAGAGACCCAAGGTGAAAAGGAGGGTCCCAGGCAGTTCACTAAGGGAGCAGTGATGCAGCCCCCTGCTGCCTCTTGTCCCTCACCCCACCCAGCATGGTCTGGGTGGTGCCCACCTGCCTGTTGCCCACCTTCCTGTTGCAATGTTGGCTACTGAAAGTGAAGGCAGGGGATGAGGTCCCTGAAGGCATGAAGAGGCCACGGCAATGCCTGGGCACCCATACACCCATCTGCCCTCAGAGCCTGTGGGACTGTGGGCTTGCCCATGTGGAGCAGGCCCTGCCTCACTCTCCAGGTAGCCCAACCCTCCCTCTCTGCTCACTCAGGGGGCTTCCCTACAGAGCACCAGCAAATCCCAGGGAAATCCACTTGTACTCTCTCAGGTAAGCCTCTGGGACAAAGGAGGTGCTCGACGAGCATCTGGCAGACCTGTTACCTGAGGAAAGGGAGTGTGCTTTTTGAAAATTACTGTTCTGGTGTCTCTGTATCCCAGCCTGACATCCTACTTCAAAGAATAGCAGCCTGCACTCCCGCCTCTAATACACTGGCACCGCACCACTTCCCGTGCTGGGGGCGTATGGGAAGTTGGCAGGGCCCAGGCCGTGGCCCTGGCCATGGCCTGACAGCCTGAGGCTGATTTAATCAGAAACTCTGTTCACGGTGGAGCTACTACTGACGACTGCATTTCTCACAGGCGACATCCTGTGCACACCAGAGGTCCCTCGTGTCTTTGGGTCACATGTCCCTATTGGACTTGTAGAACATTCTGGGTACAGCATCCCCAGCAGCCCTATGCAAAGATGACATTTCTCTTTTTTTTTTTCATGACAGAGTCTCGCTCTGTTGCCCAGGCTGGAGTGCAGTGGTGCCATCTTGGCTCACTGCAAGCTCCATCTCCCGGGTTCACGCCATTCTCATGCCTCAGTCTCTCGAGTAGCTGGGACTACAGGCGCCCGCCACCACGCTCGGCTAATTTTTTTGTATTTTTTTTTTAGTAGAGACGGGGTTTCACGGTGTTAGCCAGGATGGTCTCAATCTCCTGACCTTGTGATCTGCCCACCTCGGCCTCCCAAAGTGCTGGGATTACAGGTGTGAGCCACCGCACCTGGCCGTCATTTCTTAAAGTCTTACATATGTGAGAGTTTTTTGTTCTGTTTTTTGAGAGTCTCACTTTGTCGCCCAGGCTGGAGTGCAGTGGCACCATCTCACTTGCTGCAAACTCCACTTCTCGGGTTCAAGAGATTCTCCCACCTCAGCCTCTTGAGTAGCTGGGATTACAGGCACACATTGCCACGTCTCAAAAAAAAAAAAAAAAAATAAACAACTAAATAAAATAAAATAAAATAAAAAAGATATGGAGTCTCACTCTGTCGCCCAGGCTGGAGTGCAGTGGCACAATCTTGGCTCACTGCAACCTCCGCCTGCCAGGTTCAAGCAATTCTCCTGCCTCAGCCTCCTGAGTAACTGGGATTACAGGAGCACACTGCCATGCCCTGCTAATTTCTTCTGTATTTTAGTAGAGACAGGGTTTTACCATGTTGCCCAGACTGGTCTCGAACTCCTGAGCTCAGGCAATCCGTCTGCCTCGGCCTCCCAGAGTGCCGGGATTACAGGTGTGAGCCACCGCGCCCAGCTGCCAAGTATTATTTTTACTAAGTGATCCTGCTAGGAGAATTTTTAATTCCAAAAGAGATATAAAGAAAAAACAGGCTGGGTGTGGTGGCTCATGCCTGTAATCTAGTACTTTGGGAGGCTGAGGTGGGCAGATCACAAGGTCAGGAGATTGAGACCATCCTGGCTAACACGGTGAAACTCCATCTCTACTAAAAAAAAATACAAAAAATTAGCTGGGTGTGGTGGCGGGTGCCTGTAGTCCCAGCTACTCAGGAGACTAGGGCAGGAGAATGGCGTGAACCTGGGAGCCTACAGTGAGCCAAGATGGTGCCACTGCACTCCAGCCTGGGCGACAGAGCAAGACTCTGTCTCAAAAAAAAAAAAAGGAAAACAACAACAACAACAAAAGGAAAAACAATTTTCTTGTCCTTTATACAGTATCAGACTATTTCCTGAAGACTTCTCGAACAGGCATCATATTCCACTGGTTCTACAATGACGTGCCAATGACGTGCTGACTCCATCCTGTAGTACGCAAAGCCTGCCTGCATGAAAGTGCTTCTATGTGACAATTATTTGCAAAACTCAACATCAGATGGCTAATGTCTATATTCCCAGCAACTTAGAAGGCTCAGGCACGAGGACTGCTTGAGTCCAGGAGTTGGAGACCAGCCTGAGCAACACAGCAAGACCTCATCTCAAAAAGCCAACAGAAAACCCTTAACATTAGGGAATAAAATGACGTGGTATCTTTAGAGGGTTTATGCCCCTGGAATTACTTAAAATCAATGATTCTCAGAATTACCTGGAGGGCTTGTCTTTAACAAACCACTGGCTGGGCTCTCCCTGGAGTTTCAGACTCAGTCTGTCTGGGGTGGGGCTGAGAACCTGACCTCTCACATACTGCCGGGACAGCCGTGGCTGAGGTTGAGGTGCCACGCCAGGAGGTCACAGCTATCAATCCAGGCTGCACTCTCCTCACCTGTGCAGCATGGACATGGCCCTGACCTCGGCCTGCTGTGACCCAAAACAGGTCAGGGGCACCGGATGCAAAGCCTGTCACGAAGCAGGATTCCAGCATGCGAGTGTTGCTGGCTTGGCCTCTTCTGTGCCATTAAGGCCCTGGAGCCTGACGGCCAACTGGGCTGCTAGCCACCCTCCTGTACACCCTACAGGCTGTGGCCTGCTTTGCCAGCTGTTCCAGGTGAGGCCCAGCCTGCAGCAGGCACGGGTAGGACCGAGAAGGCTGGGTGACATGGGGAGCCACTCCTGCCAACAGCACACACCAGGACGCCTGAGCTTGCAGCGCAGCTCCCTCCCTCCCTCTGAGTCTCGGCAGCCCAGTCACACTGGCTCCCTCCACTCACTGTTTTCCTCTGCAGCCATCTGGTGGACCCAACTTTCCCCTAGATGCTCTTTGTGACAATCATAGGGTGGTCTCCACCCTCCTGGTAGGACGCTGACTGACAGTTCTTCCCACTGTGTGTATCAGACACAGCCAGGGCACCTCGCCACTGTGACACATGCACCTGACCCTGTTCCTAGAGGTCCTGACTCACCAGGTCTCAGGGTGCGCCTGGCACAAAAGGCCTCAGGTTAACTGTAACATGCAGAGGCCGCACTATAAAAACAAACAAAATACAAACATACGGAAAAATCTGGCTCTCAGACACCAGTGAAAACCTTTCAGCCCTGACTGCCGAGGGTTTAGCATTTGGGGGTCCTCCTACAGTGTAGATACTGGCTCCTGGGAGAGAAGTTAAGGAGCCAGGAGCCAGCTTCTGTCACCTGGTGCCAGGATGGGAGACACCTGTTTCTGTAACCAACACTGATAAGCAAAACACACACAGAGGGCACTCCAAAAAACCTCAGAGACCTGCCGAACCACTTCCAAGCAGGCAGTTTTCAGGTCCCTGCTCCAGTCAGGGAAACTGGAAATAGAGGTCAAGGATCACGCCCAGGTTCTAAGATCCATCATTCCATCATTCCCCACACATATTTATAGAGTCCTCCGTGCGCACGAGCTCTGGGGCAGGAAACACGATATGTACATCTAACAACAACAACAAAAAAACACAAAGGCCTCCAGGGCTTCAGGAGACACCCCCGGGGATCCTGCAGAGTTCTGACTCGAATGCATCTTTCTGTGATCTGACATTCCACACGAAATTTAATTAGAAAATGTACACGTTTTAACCAAGTCTTTAAATACCTATCCGTTCAACCTCTAAGTTGTCACCTTCAGGGGCAGGTGTGGGCCACTGGGGGCTTCCTCCCCCAACTCCCGCAGGCAGAAAGCCCAGGGGAGCCTGCTCACAGCAAGAAGGCCTTGAGAAGGGCCTTGCAGGGCCAAGTCAACAGGACCGAATCCTGGAGTGCACGCACTGCACGCCTTCCTTTTCTGTGCGCCGTTTATTATCACTCCAGACAGAAATCACAGTGATTATGATTCCCTAATAGCTACCAGAAATGTACAGGGCTGCTAAAGCCCCAGCATAATGGAGCGCCAATTCAGATCTGAGCGAATTACAATCCAGTCCCCCGCCCTGAACCTCACCGTGCCACTCACAGGCAGAGTTTTGTAAACAGCACTTTGTATGCCACGCAATCCCCCCAAGGTCTGACTTCCACCCTTCAACCTAGGCACTTCTGTAAGACAGGATTTTTAAACACCAGGCATAAATGGGCCGGGCGCAATAGTTCACGCCTGTGATCCCAGCACTCTGGGAGGCCAAGGTGGGCGGATCACTTGAAGTCAGGAGTTCGAGAACACCCTGGCCAACATGGCGAAATCCCATCTCTACTAAAAATACAAAAACAAGCTGGGTGTGGTGGTGTACGCCTGCAGTCCCAGCTACTTGGGAGGCTGAAGCAGGAGAATCGCTTGAACCCATGGAGGCGAAGGCTGCAGTGAGCCGAGATTGTGCCACTGTACTTCAGCCTGGGCGACAGAGTGAGAATCCGTCCCAGAAAAAACAAAACAAAAGACCAGCCATCAATGCCCTGAAGGAGCCAAGCAGTGAAGACAAAACAGCACTGACAGCGAAGAGGCTGCAGCTGTTATGCTCCTGGCTTGTGGCAACCTCCACACATTTCCTGGCTCCTGGATAATGTGGGGAGGGGTAAGGAGCCAGAAACACAGACTTGTGAGGCTCTAGAGGCCTCGAGGACAGCTGCAAAAACTGTCAGAGCTCAGGAACCACAGCGGTGTGACTGCTGCCAGTCAAGGCCCGCAGCACAGAGCCGCAATGCTTCCTTCCCAGAAGCAAAAAGCTGAGATGAGCTGTGAGAACCACGCCTGAACGCTCTCAGGCATGTCACTGAGACTCCAGCAAGTGGGGCTGGGCCCCGGCCGAGTGCACCCTGGGGCCCCGGACATGGCCGCAGGCAGGGAGGAACCAGAGGGGCAGGCGGGGCCATTCCTTACACTGTGTCTCTGACATCTCTCGGGATCCGAGAATTCCAATCTCGAAAAGCTTCATTTTCTTTGTCAAATTCCCGTTCGTCTTCGCCAATGGTCACCGTAAACCTTTTCTCTTCAAAATCAGGCTCCTGTTCTTTTCGGATAGTTGCTTTTTTTAAAACCTACCATTGTAAGAAGAAAGAAGTCAACACAGAGTGGAATACTGGGCGTCGCTGTTAGGAAACACAAAAGCGGCCGCCCCACCCGACCGCAGCAGCCCCCCAGGAGCAGGAGCCGCTGGCTGCAAGTGCTCGAGGGTGAGGGGCAGGCACAGCACAGGCGTCTTTCTGGGGAGGGCAGTCTGCGCCCGTCTCTGCATGAACAGCTGCCCCCAGCCTCTGTGTGCCCACGTGAGGTACTCATCACTTCCTTCAACCACCCTTGGAACTGAACCCACGGTTCAGTTACTCAGTGACAAGCAGCACGTGGAGTGGCTGGAGTCTCAGAGGGAAGGAGGTGACATGCCGAGGGAGTGAGGAAGAACATCTTGTCCATCGTTTCCCAGCAGAGAGGCTGACCAGGAAAATGAGGAAGCGGGGCTGGGTGCCGGCAGAGTGGTTCCCAGAGCTTAAGTTCATACACTGGGGCCAACATGGGCCTAGAGGGAGGGAGTGTGCAGTGACGGGGCCAGAAAGCCCCAAGCTCTCTCCAGAACAGTCTCAGGAGCATGGGGCGCAGATCCCGGGGTGCAGCGAGGGCAGCCTCACCAGGCTTTCTGTGAGTGGCTGGAGACTGCACCCTGTGCTCCTGGGCAGCGCCAGTCGGGGGCCCAGTGCTGATCCAGCCCCATGAAGACAGTGGATATGCCCTGGACTGAACTTCCTGGCCTACTGGGTTGCTGCCTGAGACAGTTAGATCTAATCCTCCATCTTTCTGGGCCTGGTGGCGCATGCCTGTAATCCCAGCTACTTGGGAGGCCGAGGCAGGAGAATCGCATGAACCTGGGACGTGGAGGCCGCGATGAGTCGAGATTGGGCTATTGCACTCCAGCCTGGGCAACAAGAGCGAAACACCCGTCTCACAAAAAAAAAAAAAAAAAAAAAGGCCCCAAAGAAACCGACCCCTAACTTCAGAGCTTTTTTCCTGGGGCTTTCTACGGCTGTCTCTGGACTGAGGAAATCCCAGTTTTTCTGCCGAATTCTGTTACCTCCTTTGCATGCCGGAGTCCTCGTTCCCAGGCACTCTCTGTTGGGGGCTCTGGAGGGGGTGGAGGCAAAATTTCATCAACTACCGGCCCACCCTGTTGAAAAATGAGAAGGGAGAAGGTGAGAAAGTAAAACTTTCAAGTGTACAGAGAAACCAGACAGTAAAAACATCAACTACAACACAAGCTGGCCGTGTGTGGCCGCTCTCCTTCCACCAAGCCTCACTCCGTCCCCAGAAAGCCGAGGCCTGCTTCCACTCGGGACAACAGAAGCAGCTGAATGGGGGCACTGAGCCTGCACTAAGGCACAGCAACTTGTCTTAAGCTTGAGATTCAGACAGAGCTCAGCTGGCTGATGTGCTAACAATGAAAGAAGAGGCATCACGCACCCAAGGGTTGGCGGGCATCAGCGGGTGAGGTCCGAGAGGCGGGGCGCCATTAGGCGGGAAGGGGTCGGCTTTGGTGATTAGGGAGTAGTTCCCCTTGTCGTTCACTCCAGGGTGTATAAACCTACAATTCATTCCCCAGGTACAGTTCCCTATGGAAACAAAAGTGAGATCAGAAAGGGTCCACAAGAGCCTAACTGCACAAGGGCAGCTGCCGGGGTTGGGGGTGGGAGAGGGCAGAGGCCATGTTTACCCAGGCCTCATGGTGAGCCACACAGCAGTGGGGACTGAACGGGGAGGTGGGTGGGATAAGCCTGGAGAGGCTGAGCCAGGCAGCTGCACCTGCCCAGGCACAGCAGTTCCCCAGAGGCTGCCAGGAACCCATGGCGCCGTGGCCAGAGGAAACAGCCCGTTTCAGAGTCACTTTGTGGAGAGTTCATGCATACCAACTGTCTGAGTATTAATTTTCCCCTTAAACCAGAAAAGCCCCAGAGCCTTGCTTCCAGCCCTGGCCCAGGCTCATCTAAGTACAACTGGATGTTAACTGTATTTGTGCTGAAATAGACATCAATAAGAAGCATTAACAATGATCAGAAGCCTGCAGGTGTGCTCAGGGTGCCCTTGGCCACCTCTGTACATCTGCATTTCTCTTATGAAAATTCTCAAAGAGCATTTCAAGGTATTTCTGGAATTTAAACAGGGCTTTTACACTTTGCTCATAAATAACAATCACAAACCTTCATCTTCAACAGAACATCAGAGTTAGTAAAGGAAACCTCGACTTTTCAGTGCAGAATATAAGACATCTAAGTGTTTAATTACTGAATCACTTTTTAAAAATGTACTTTTTTGAATAGATAATATGTATACATTGTTTAAAACCAAATATGGCATATAGTATCTAAGTGATTTTAGAAATTTTTTCAATGGGTTAACATGCAGTTAGATTTTAAATCATTTAAAATTTTAATCTTAAACATCATTAACACTTAAGCTTGCATTAAAACCAACTCAACACAACATAATAACAATATCAATCCAAATTAAACATGAAAGAAAGTAAACTTAAAATTGCTTATCTGGAAATGCAAAAATGACAAACTAATTTTTAAAATTTCTAAAAGCATTTCAGAGATCACACATAAGTCAAAAGAGGTTGGGAGGCCAGGCACAGTGGCTCACGCCTGTAATCCCAGCATTTTGGGAGGCCGAGGCGGGAGGATCGTGAGGTCAGGAGATCGAGACCATCCTGGCTAACAGTGAAACCCCATCGCTACTAAAAAAAAAAAATACAAAAAATTAGCCTGGCATGGTGGCAGGCGCCTGTAGTCCCAGCTACTCGGGAGGCTGAAGTAGGATAATGGCGTGAACCCGGGAGGTGGAGCTTGCAGTGAGCCAAGATGGCGCCACTGCACTCTAGCATGGGTGACAGAGCGAGACTGCATCTCAAAAAAACAAAACAAAACAAACAAAAGAGGTTGGGAAATGTTACTCTATAGGGGGTTCAAAAATCCAGAGTCTCAGAGAGATTTAAAGAAAAACCGACTATGCAGTCATACATCTAAGAGAGACTCAACACACCACAGAGCTCTTCATGGTTTGCCTCTGAAAATACCCATGCAGTATTCAAAATCACGTATGTAACTAAACAAGTAACAAAAGCTCATTGTAAAAAATGTCCAAGTACAGAAAAGTGCTGACAACAGAAACCACAGCTTTTCTGTACTCCTTTTTTTTGTTTTTCAGATGGAGTCTCACTCTGTCACCTAGGCTGGAGAGAAATGACGCAATCCTGGCTCACTGCAACCTGCACCTCCTGGGTTTCAGCGATTCTCCTGCCTCAGCCTCCTGAGTAGCTGGGATTACAGGTGGACACCACCACGCCCGGCTAATTTTTATATTTTTAGTAGAGACAGGGCTTCACCATGTTGGCCAGGCTGATCTTGAACTCCTGACCTTGTGATCTGCCCGCCTCAGCCTCCCAAAGTGTTGGGATTACAGGCATGAGCCACTGTACTCGGCCTCTGTACTACTTTTTCATCTAGAATATGTATCTGGGTGGTGGCTAAATGTTATTGTTCTTCTATTTACAAAAATTTTTAGGACATCACCTACGAAACTGCTGTCAAAAAAGATCCTTTCTCACTGATATTGGCAGGGGGAGAAAAGAGGAACAAGGCAGAAAAGAACAAACCAGCAAGCACCGAAGAGCAAGCCAAGAAGGTGAGCGTGGGGCTGCCGCCAGATACCAGACGCTGGTGGGTGACAGTGTTCAGCTCTCAGGGGCCACCTGCCCGGGGGTGCTGCCCCTGGCCAGAGGAAAGGGGAAGATGGCTCTGGAAAGCAGCACAGTTGGCCTGCACATCTAGCTGGGACACACCTAAAGCAGATGTCAGGCAAAACGAACACTGCTGTCCCATCCACCTTTTTTAAATGTGAACTTTTATCTGTGTAGGAACACACCCAACTGTTGGAAATGTGGGAAGAGGCTTTAGATTTTATTTTCTTGACTTCTGCCAGTCCATTTTTCCCTTTTTTTTTTTTTTTTTTTGAGACAGGGTCTTGCTCTGTTGCCCAGGCTGGAGTGCAGTGGAGCGATCTAGGCTCATTGCAACTTCTGCCTCGTGGGTTTGAGCAATTCTCCTGCCTCAGCCTCCTGAGTAGCTGGGATTACAGGTGGACACCCCCACGGCCCAGCTAATTTTTGTATTTTTAGTAGAGATGGGTTTTTGCCACGCTAGCCAGGCTGGTCTCAAACTCCCGACCTCAGGTGATCTGCCCGCCTCGGCCTCCCAAAGAGCTGGGATTACAGGTGTCAGCCACCATCCCCAGCCTTACTTTCATAGTTTAAAAAGCAATTTGTTTAAAAAAAAAAAAAAAAAGAAATTATCCGAAAATGGAAGCAAAAATAAAGATCTTCTGGTATACAAACTGTATACTCTTCTAACTGGGACTTCGAACCCAAAATTTATGGGGATTGTGATTCTAACAGTATAAAGACAGTCCTGCAGATACTGCGTACAAAGACATGGCCTCAGGCCAGAAGCGGACAAGGAGACACAGAGGCCGCTGGAGTGGGGCGGAGGCAGTTCCTTCACTGCTGAAACGTCTAATACTATTTCTGGCTTCAAGGCAGGATGATGGTCTTTTTCTTAACTGGAATGTCAGCACAGTAGCAACTGTTTGTGTTTTTTTTGAGACGTAGTTTTGTTCTTGTTGCCCAGGTTGGAGTGCAATGGCACGATCTCAGCTCACTGCAACCTCCACCTCCCAGGTTCAAATGATTCTCCTGCCTCAGCCTCCCGAGTAGCTGGAATTACAGGCATGCATCACCATGTCTGGCTAATTTTGCATTTTTAGTAGAGATGAGGTTTCTCCATGTTGGTCAGGCTGGTGTTGAGCTTGCGACCTCAGGTGATCCACCCACCTCGGCCTCCCAAAGTGCTGAGATTACAGGCGTGAGTCACCGCGCCCAGCCAACTATTTTATTCTCTTATTAATCTTTATGCCTGTGTAAACATTGTGTTATTTTACATATATGAAATATTTCATAATAAAATGAAATACTTGTAAATAAAAAATATCCACCCACTCTAAAAGGTACACTGTGAAGTCGACCTCCTACCCCACGGCCAATGCCAGAGGCAGTTATGAATATACTGGGGCTCCATCCATCATTCATTCCCCCTTTTACCTGAGAATATACATCATGCTCTGTGTTGAACCTCGCTTTTTTTCACTGAACAATGTAACTACAGAAAGGGAACCTGCATGCTCAGCAGCAACAAACCCAAACTGGATCAGGGAAACAGACAGGAAACGTGGAAAATCCAGAAACTAAACAGAGACAGCAGGAAGTGAGGCTCAGCTCACGCTCCAGCACAGCCCACATGAAATATCTTTAAATGTCTCTTCTGATTTTGAATGCGGTAAATATCCATTCCCTGTTTCCTTGGTTCACATGGGTCATTTCTATTGACAAGTATAATGGTATCAGAAATTGAGAAAGACCTTTAAAGATAACTCATTATTGAACAACAACAAGGTATCCAATAGATAGTAACCAATATTTATGAAACTAGTTTAAAATACTTGGTGAGAGGAGTGGCATTCTTTGCCTTTTTGCAAATCCCTTGAATGCTAACCCTGGAAAACCCCTGGCCTCCCATCTGTGTGCAATTGGCCATGAAGGGCTGCTGTGGCTGAAGCAGGACAGGACATTACAGACCCACTTAGAGACTCAGCTAGAAAGGGAGGGCCATCTAAAAGCCTTTTCAGATGTGCTGAGAGCTTCTTCCTGACACCGCACTCAGCACGGGAAGGCTCCTTACAGTGAGCTGCAATCGAATCCTATCACCACCCTTTCCCAGCTTGGCTGCTCTGAAATCCATTGGTCTATCTTGAACTTTGAATGGGTCTTTTACAAAGGCATGATTCTGTGACATCCTGCAATGGTCACCTGAGAAAGTCCTGACACACCGAGAAGCTGGTGAGCACACAAACCAATTTTCAACTGAAAGCTTCAATTTTAATACTGCTAACACTGTCCGTTGTTCCCCTTGAAGCCGCGGGCTCACTTTGTTCCTGCCAGGACCCGGACCTGCATGCCCCGGCATGTCTGCCAGTCTTCGTCACGAATGTGTGCTCCACGGAGAGCGCACAGGGTCAGCCGCAGCTCAAGTCTTGCACGTGCTGCCCTTTGAGGCCGCTGGACTTGAGTGCTGGCAGGGGCTCTACCGGCGCTGCCACTCCGCCATGCTGAGTACTAAGAGACATGCACAGCAGGACCCCTCCTCTGCTTTCTGGCTTTCCACAATTTTAGTTACCTGTGGTCTGAAAATATTAGACAATTCCAAAAATAATTCCTAAATTTTAAAAGATGTTCTGTGTTGAGTAGCATGATGAAATCTTGTGCCGACCTCCTCTGTCCCACCTGGGACACGAATCCTCCCTTTGTCCAGCAGATCCACGCTGTCCACGATGCTAACTGCCCACTAGTCATCTAGCAGCCCTCCTGGCCACCAGCCACCATTGGGAGCACGGTGGTGCTGTGCTCACTGTGGCTGTGACCCAGGATCACTGGGGGCAGATGACCTTCCTCCTGACGCATCGGCAGGAGGTCACGAGGGGCCCAATGCCACATGGCAGGGCC